ACGGGTGCAGCTCCTCTCGCTGGGCTCTGCAGGCCCCGTGTCCTCCACAGGCTGGGGTGGGGGAGCCTGCTGCCAGGAAGCCCATCCCCCAAGGAGCCGCGCAGGTCTGAGCCACCCTCGGCCACCTTAGCCCCGTGGACTGCTTGTCCTCCTAACACAGAAGCTGTCACCGTCAGGTGCCGTTGGGTCGGCTCCAGTGACCCCTGGCCCAACAGAAGGAAACACCGCCCGGCCCCACACCACCCTGACAACGTCCTCTGCCCGAGCCCATGGATGCAGCCTCTGTGTCCGTCCACCTCGCCGGAAGCCTTCCTCTTTTAATCTCACCCACCGCTCTACCGAGCATGATGTCCTTCTCCAGGGACTGGTCTCTCTTGACAACGCGTATAAAGTATGTCAGACGAAGTCTCGCCATCCTTGCCTCTAAGGAGCGCTCTGGCTGTACTTCTTCCAAGACAGATCGGTGTGTCCTTCCGGCCGTCCATGCGCGTTCAGTGTTCTTCTCCAGCCCCACCGTTCAAACGCCTCGATTCTTCTTCAGTCTCCCATAGTCAATGTCCGACGTTCTCAGGCGTAGGAGGCGAGTGGAAACACCATGGCTGGGGTCAGGTGCACTGTAGTCCTCAAAGCAACCTTGCTTCTCAGCAACTTAAAGAGGTCTGAGGCAGAAGAGTGCCTAATGCAACGAATGCACGTGTCTCTCGACTGCTGCTTCCATGAGCATGAGGAAATCCTGACAGCTGCCACCCTTTTCTCCACGGATCATGTTAGCTGTCGGTCCAGTGGTAAGGATGTTGGTTTTCACACGGAGCTGTGATCCGTACGGAAGGCTGCCATCCTTGATCTTCGTCGGCATCGTCTGCACACCGCAGGCTGTTTGTTAACCAGCCTTCCTCCGATCCTGGTGCCACTCCTTCATCATACAATCGAGTTTCTCTGCGGATTTGCTCAGCATACTGGTTGAACAGTATGAGAGGACACAACGCCAAGGCACACCTCTCCTGATTGCACACCATTTCCTCCTCCCTTGTTCTGTTTGAATGATTGCCTCTTGATCCGTGTGCAGGTTCCGCTGGAGCGCAATGACATGTTCTGGAACCCCGTTCTTCTCAACGAGGTTATCCACACTCGCGTGGGAGCCACACCGCCGAATGCCTTGGGCACAGTTAACAAACATCGTTCTGGTCTTTGGCTTTCAGCCAAGATCCATCTGACACCAACAATGATACCCCTTCTTCCACGTCCTCTTCCGAATACAGGGTGAATTGCAGGTAGCTCCCTGGTGATGCACTGCTGCAGCCGTTGTGGCATGAGCTTTAGAACTTGATGCTGATGACCTCTGCCAGTGAGCCCACTGCAGCTCACGGTGGGTGGCCCTAGAGGACAGGGGAGCGCTGCCCCTGTGGGTTGCAGAGAGAGGCTGTCAGCCTTGGAGGGAGCTGTGTTCTATAACTGTCCGGTGTTAAGGGTGGGAAACCCAGGGTTGGTTGGAGTTTCCATTCTTCCTGGGATCGCTCCCAAATAAACCACTGCACCCCACAGCTCGTCCATGCTGCTCTTGGGGGGAACCCCCATCAAGATGGGTGGCTAGCCTTGTCCCTGAGGCTGTCCCTTGAGTGGTCACAGAGGACCAGGAGAGAGCCAGGCTGGGCCAGCACAGACAGAGATGTGCGGGCGGGGTGGGGCTGGGGGCTGGAGAGGCTACGGGCCTTAAGGAAGTTGGAGCTGGGCCACAGGAGACAAGGTGGGCCCCCAGCAGCCCATGGGCCCCTGTGGGGGTCCTGAGGGGGGGGGCAAGGAGCCCCCAGCCACCCTGCCCAAAGCATCAAGGAGCAGGAGGCAGCTCATTGACAAGAGCTCCCAGACATGGGTACCAGGAATGGGCAGCAAACTGGACCTGCCATTTCTGAGCTGTCTACACGCAGGGACCACGTGTCCGAAGGCAGGGACTGGACAGGCTGATGCTTCCAGCCTAGGTGCCCTGACGGGTCAGTACCCCAAGCCTTCAAGACCGCCCCACTGTGTGTGGGTGTGGGTGTGTGGTGTGTGTGCACACGTGCGAATGGTTCTCAAAGGTTGCACAAGGTTGGTGGTTCAAACCCACGCAGCGCACTGTAGAAGAAAGGTCTGTGCATGTGTCTCCAGAGGTGATGCCAAGGACACCCCATGGAGCCGTCTCTGTGACACAGGGGCCACCGCGCGTCAGCCCGGGCTCGTTGGCAGCCAGGGCAGCCTGCCAGTGGCTGGCCCAGGTCCTGAACGGTCAAATCTCACCTCCCCCGCCTCCTGCCAGCAGGTGGGTTCAGACCGAGGACAGAGCAGGTCTGCCCCAGGCTGGGACCAACTGTCAATCTCCACAGAAACAGCGGACTCGCCTCTCCCCCAGGTGGGACCACCGACCATGGGGTTAGCAG